CATTCAGGTTGATCATCTGACTGAGTATTAGAGGTAGAGAGTACAGGATCAGGAGGATTGTCAGAGTCTGTCACACCAGTCTGGGTTGGAACATCATTATCATCACATACTAACTTCATATGATCTAAATGCGATTCTTTATACTGACCAGTACTAATTTCTCTAACCTTATATTTATTGCCAGTGATATGTTCAACTACTCGATAAGGACCAACAAACTTTTGATCAAGCTTTGGCATTGCAGACGTTTTGTTAAAGTTAGTCAGCATAACTCTCGAACCTACTTTGATTTTGGATGGCTTTGCTCGAGTGTTTGCGACTCTTGTAAATTCTGCTGTTGATTTATGAAGTGTTTCACTGATTCTTCTAAAGACGCTTTGAGCTAGGCTGGTACGAGTTGCTATGAAATCATTTGGGTTGTAATTTGGTTTCGGGTTAGAATATAGCAACTCATAAGGCAAACGTTTATCTACACCGTACAATGCATAATGTGGAGTGTCACCTATAGAAACATTGTAAGCAGAACTTATAGCACACTGCACATCAGGTATAACTTTATCCCAAGTTTCACTGTTGGGATTGATAGTGGCTCTCAAGACATCAAATACTTTCTTACTGGTTCGTTCCGCTAACCCATTGCTGGCAGGATGATGAGGAACAATGGTGGATTTAGAGATCTTGTACAAGGTACACAAATTTTCAAGAATCTCATTACAGAATTCACCTCCATTATCTGTTACTAGGGACTTAGGGGTGGTATGCCTGCAGATAATGCATTCTTTAAACGCTTTAGTTACTGTCTCAGTAGTCTTATCTGCAATAGGAACTAACTCACAATATCTGGTAAAATGGTCTACCATAACACAAAGATGTTTGTTGCCTTGGAAGGAACTTTGGAAATTAGTTAACAAATCTAGTGCAACTCTTTCCCATGGTTCGCTAGTAGTTGGATACACTTGGATTGGATTAGGACCATTAGCATTACCTTTATGTTGCATGCAGACACTACATTCCTTAACATACTCAGAAATATCAGTTGCCATACGAGGCCAAAGTATTTCAATCTGGCTTGTTTTACTGAACGATCCATACCAGGGTGTGCAACACCTGGTACATCGTGAACTAGCTGTAAGGCTACATTCACTAGTGACTGTGGAATTACTAACTGGTATACTCTTCTGCTAGGAGTACCCAAACTTGGCTGTTTCGATACAGTAATTCTTGGTTCATGACAAAGTCACTGATGGGTGCTGGTGGCTTCACAGTCAGAATAAGATCTTCCTGGAGCAGGAATCGAATCACACCAGACCACATGGGATCTGCTCGTTGAGCATTCTTTACATCTTCAGCACTAAATGGAGGGTCTGCAGTTACTATACTAACATGTCGTGATAAGGCATCTGCGACTACATTTGACTTGCCAGGTAAGTGTTCAAAGGTGGGATTGAACTCTTGGATAGTCAAGGTCCATCTGGCTAACCTTCCAGTAGGTTGTTTGTTCTGGAATAAAGGTATCAGTGGAGCATGGTCTGTCATGACATGAACAGAGTACTGATAAATAATGTCTCGGAAGTGCTTTAAAGACCATACTGTTGCTAATGCTTCTTGCTCAGTTACTGTATAATTATGTTCAGCCTTCATAAGGACTCGGCTAGCAAATGCAACTGCATTGTCCATGCCATCAGTCTTCTGAGCTAGTAAGGCACCTATGCCTATAGAACTATCATCAGTTGTCAGATAGAAGGGCTTAGAAAAATCTGGAAATTTCAAAATTGGAGCAGATGTTAGCTTTTCTTTTAGAGTTTGGAATGCTCTTTCTTGACGGAAGGTCCAAACAAAAGGAGCATCTTTCTTAAGCAACTCCGTTAGAGGAGCAGCTATAGAAGAAAAATTGGCAATGAAAGATCTATAAAAACCTGCTAAGCCCACAAAAGATCTTACGGCATCAGCAGTTTTGGGAGTTGGAAAATTTAGTACTGCAGTTACTTTACTTTGGTCGGTCGTAACCCCTCTAGGGGTGACTACGTGACCAAGAAACTTAATTTCTTATCTGAAAAATTGACATTTAGACAGTTTGATCTTTAAATTAGCTTCTTCAAGTTTACTAAGTACTACATCAAGTCTTTTCAAGTGTGTATCCACGTCTTCAGATATGATGATTACGTCATCTAAGTACACCATAACTGCATTACCTATGAGGCCTCTAAAGATATTAGTCATGAGCCTTGAGAACGTGATAGGGGAGGATCGTAATCCAAATGCCATACGGAGGAAGCGATAATGACCTGTAGGAGTGGAGAATGCAGTTAGCTCTTGGCTGTCCTCGTGAAGAGGGACTTGCCAAAACCCTTGTAACAAGTCCAGGGTTGAAAAGACTTTGTTATCTCCAATGTTACGTAAAAGATCACCCAGTACAGGGAGTGGGAAGCGATCTGGAATAGTTTTCGCATTTAGCTTCCTAAAGTCAATCACTGGGCGCCAAGTACCATCCTTCTTAGGCACTAGGATCATGGGTGCATTCCAAGGTGAATTGCTAGGTGCAATAACTCCATCATCAGGCATTTGATTGATCAATTCTTCTGTGACAGCAGCTTGTGAATGAGGCATTCTGTATGCAGGTATATAGATAGGTCTAGTACCAGGTTCAAGTGGAATACGATGGGATAATGAGTACGCCATCCCCATTCACAATTCCTTTGAAGCCTTAAGCAGTCTCGAGAATGACAATCCTGCTGATGATGTTGCTTCACACGTCTCTGACATAGATGATTTTGGAGATGAAGTGGGACATTCTGATGACAATCCACCTTTTTGTTTGCACATAACTTCCAATGCAACCATAGGCCCTATAGTGCAAGCATCTGCTCATAATGTGCCCGTTCATTTTTTCATGGACTCTGGTGCACAAGTCAATATTATCAGGTCTAGTTTGTTTAGGGATAAGCAGTTACGACATGTCCTTCTCGTAGAACCGACTTGTGTCCTCCCTTAGTGGAGTAGCTGGTTCTCATCTGTGTGTCCGAGGTCAGACTTCCCTCACCTTTCTATCCAAGGTAGAGACTTTACTGCTTCCTTCCTTGTTGTCGACCAGATTACTTTCCCTGGTGACCTTCTACTGTGATTTTCTTCCATGCGAGACTTACGCATTGTGCTCAACCCTTATCGATGGCATGCCCAAATTGATGACTTGATAGTACCATTTTGGGGTTACCAGCTTGGAGTGTACCAATGGAGCCCCTACTTTTAATTGGGGGTATTTTGCATCGCCTGCTCAGTCTTTTACTTTCGTAGGGAGTGATTTCTGTGTGCAGATTCGGGACCACTCCTTCCAGGACTTTCCAAGTGTAGATTATGATATATCTCTCTCTCCTGCATTCCAGCGAGTACAAGTCAAGTGTTTCCAAGCGTTCCCAGCAGTTAAGGTGCTTGAAAGAACTTATACGTGCAGTGAAGGTTCTCTGGACACTCTCTAGATCTGCAATTTCACCTGCTTTGAACGGGGATGTTAATGTACAGCAGTATTCCAGCCTAGAGAGAACATGTTATTTGAAAAGGATCATCATTGGCTTGGCATCTCTCGTTTTGAACGTTCTCATTATCCATCCTATCATTTTCTTTGCACTTGTGATCGTGGCACTGTTGTGATCTTTGAAAGTGAGATCCTCAGACATTACTACTCCCAGGTCCCTTACAATATTTTTCCACTCTATTGTATGCCCAGAGTTTGTAGTATGCTCTGTTCTAGTTATTATCTCCTCCAGTTTTCCATAACGAAGTACTTGGAATTTGTCCTCATTGAACATCATATTGTTTTCCGTCTCCCACTGGGCTTACCTCCCTTCCCTTCCTCATATAAAAAACCACGTATTCCAGGCTTTCCATACTCCTCCCACCATCGAAGTATATCACCCCCCTTCCTCCCATGAGCCCACTCATTCTCCCACCACTCAGCAAAACTATCACCTTCCACCGACCCCTCTAACAAGCTCACATTAAGCTTTCAATAACTCGGATAACACATTGGTAAACCACCCCACCCCACATCCGCCACCACCCCTCTATAATCTGAAAACACGAAGTCCATAATTTCCGAGTTAGCAACCGATATCCCTGGAGAAGCATAAATACGATCGTGCCACACATCCCCTGCGCACATAAGTGTGCTCCACTTTCCACCCCTCCCCCTGCAAAACATCCACCAACCCAGCTCCCCCTAAAACATCCCACAAAACCCCTAACACACACCCTGCACCTCTCGGCTCCACATCCTTTCTACGAATCACACTATTCCAATCTTCTCCTAACAATGAATTAACAGGCAACCCCCGCATATGATAAATTACTATCCGCCGGCATTTACACACCCACAAAACACACTCGTACCTCACCCCATGTCCCATCCACCCTCACTACTCTCCCATCCCCTTCCTCCTTCCCAATGTAACATTCGAAAAGGACTGGCCTCCGCTATTAATACAGCTGCACCTCCCTTAATCTTCCCAGTATACCCTGCATATACTTTATACCCATCCACCAACAAATCTCTTCCATACTTAAAATTATGCTCCTGTAGAAATATTACCTGTATGCTATATCTCCGCAAAAATTCACTAAACCATCTGCCCTTTACATCGGCCCTTAGGCCATTTACATTTAATGTTAAACACTTAAAAATGCTATCTGGGGCTTACCTATTGTCCTGTGTCCTTGCATTTCTTTATACTTCTTTCCACTATACTTGTCACTATTTCCTTTCCTAGCCTCACCTTTTCCGTGCCCCTCCCCCTCCCTGAGACTTTTCTTGGCATATTCACCAAGTGTTTCTTACCATGTTTTTGGGCAGGTGTAAGGACATCATCGCTATCAGACGCACCAGCCTCCCTCTTGCGAGATGCTTAAACTAGGTGTATGTCCTCACCTTCACCTCCCTCCCCGTGCACTTCAACCTCTGTCTCACAAACCCTCGGAGGTTGCTTATCCCTACTACCCGCATTACCTACCTCATGAACCCTACCCTTCTCCACAGATTCCCCTTCCTTTACCATACTTTGAGTACTTTCCTCATTATGACCAACCAGTAAGCCTTGTAACACGGTGTGTATAGCAGCCGACACACCATTACCCAATTCCTCTGGACCCACCTCTTCCTCCATTCTTATGGTCTCAATAACCTGAGACACTTCCGGTAACACTCCTCAGGATTTTCCTCCACTATTTCACTCCACGGCTTACGAGCCCCATGAAGCTCTCCTGAAGTCTTGGGCATCATTTCTCTATCCTTCGCCATTCCTTGCCCAGCTCTATTAGTCTCAGATGTTGATCTTCGAGGACACTGCACAGCCATATGTTCATTGGCGCAACACAATCGACATGTTCGTCTCTGGCCCGCATATGTTACATATACCTGAGTCCTAAAGTCGCTCAGTA